ATATTGGCAGCTCCGTCTCCCAGAGCACCTTGGATGTTCCCCTGCATCTCGGCCATGGTTCTCACCTGGGGAGGTAAGCACTGGCTCCTTCCCTAAAGCAGGACAGGGGCTTCTGAACAGGGGATTACTTTGTGTCCAGGTAAGATTGAGTGCCCACAGCTCTACCACCCTTTCCAAGATGTCTGCTGTTAATTCTCTCCATCTCTCCACAGCATCAGCAATCCCTGCCAAGTCGGGCCATTTGAAGGGGGACCGCAGCAGGCAGCTTGCAGGCTCTGAGAAGCAGTGACAAGTCTCTCCGGGTCAGCATCCCTGAGTCGCTGGGTTCTCCTGCCCCACGGATTTGGCTGTTCCTTCTGGACAAACCGGAGGCTTGCTGTCATGGGGATGCACTGAACCCTCACCCCAGGAGCTTCAGGCCTGGATGTTGGTGCTGCACCTCCCAGACGATGTGGCTGATACTCTGGAGAAGCCCTCTCTTGCCCCCTGTTCTCCAAGTGCCTGAGCTGGTGGCCAGCTGGGACCTGCGTCTCACCCTCTGGGTCCTGAGCTTCGCCTCGGTGGTTGTGCGCATGGAGGGCCAGGTCTACTCTCCCACTGTCAACACTCACTATGGGAAGCTACGGGGGGTGCGTGTGCCACTACCCAGTGAGATTTTGGGACCCGTGGATCAGTACCTGGGGGTGCCTTACGCTGCCCCCCCAGTTGGGGAGAAGCGGTTCATGCCTCCAGAGCCACCTCCCTCCTGGTCAGGCATCAGGAACGCTACCCACTTCTCGCCAGTCTGCCCCCAGAACATCCACAACGCCGTCCCTGAGATCATGCTGCCCATCTGGTTTACCTCCAACTTGGATATTGTGGCCACCTACATCCAGGACCCCAACGAGGACTGTCTGTACCTCAACATCTACATCCCCACGGAGGATGGTGAGTCCCCGGTGGGGCACCTGCAGGAGCGAGCGCTCTGGGAGGGTAAGGGGGGCTGCCCTGCCCCTATCCCTGCCCAGCAGCGGTTGGTCTCACTTGGGTGTTGTGTTTGAAGCATGTGGTTGTGGACCCTGCAGCATGCTGTCTGTTTGTGGAAAGCTTCCTCTGGCCACTCAGCTTGCCCTCAGCTGCCATCTTTGTCTCGCGTGCTCCTGCCCCTCCACGCCTCTCGGTTTCCCCTTCTTTCTTCCTCCACCTCCATGGCATTGTCACGGGTTCCTTTCTTGTATTGCTAAATCTGAATCAGACTCTCTGACTGCAGATCCACAGAGTGACAAGCTGGTTTGTGCTCCCCAGGCGCCGAGTGCCAGGTTCTGTCTTGAGTTGGTTCGGGTTTGTCCTTCTTCCCTTTTCCCACCCCCAGGTCCATGTGCTAGCCGTGGCCACAGGCTGTGGCTGCTGCTGGGAGGAACACTCTGCCTCTCGTAGGGCTGGGCTGCTCATGCCCAGAAGGGAACACAGAGCCCTTTTTGGTGGCACAGGAGCCCTTTCTGGGGGATTCTGGTGCAGGCAGGAGGCTGGGGGACATTGCAAAGTAGTTGCGGCCTAGTGTGTCACGGCTAGGCCTAGTGCAGTGTGCTGCAGCCTAGTGCAGTGTGCTGAGGCCTAGCATAGTGTGCTGAGGCCTAGTGCAGTGTATTGTGGCCTAGCATAGTGTGCCGAGGCCTAGTGCAATGTGCCGAGGCCTAGTGCAATGTGCCGAGGCCTAGCACAGGGTGCCACAGCCTAGAGCAGGCCTGGTCCTGCGGTGGTGAGGCCGAGCGGCACTGCCTGCCTCCTGTCTAATCTTTTCCTCCACAGGACATCCCACCTGAACCGTAAGTAGAGGACAGAGGAGGCAACCCTCTGCCCATGCGCCTGCCATAGCCTCACCACCGCGGGAGCCCTGGGGTGAGCAGGGCAGGACGCTCAGAACAGGCCCTGCCTCACCGGCTCCACTCCTCCATCCCGGGGGGTCTCAGCTGCACCTTCCCAGCATGGCAGGCCCAGAGTTTTCCTCCCACAGCGCCGCTCCCCACCCACCTCCTGCGGTCCCCGGGGCGGCGGGGGGGTGGCAGCGTGGTTGTGATTGCATGCCCACTCCCAGCCGGTGGAGCCTCCTGTTATTTTGTAGTCTTTTATTCATTTTACAGTAAAACGGATTTCCAAGGAATGCACCCGAAAGCCCAACAAGAAAATATGTAGGAAAGGAGGTATGTAGCAAGCCGACCGGCAGAGAGGCACAGAGAGGAAAGAGAGAGAGAGTGAGAGAGTGCGAGGGTGCCTGTCGGTTCTCTCTGGCCCCGCGGCGTGCTCCTCTCTGTGCTGCAGCTGCCCACGGGCCCCAAGCAGCCCTGACCACTGCTGCCCGCTTCCCACTTGCCTCCACCCGGGGCTGCAGATGGGCTCGGGGTCAGGGCAGAGCAGGATGCTTCCTTTGCTCCAGGCCTTTCAGAACAGCTGAGCCCACGCTCCCCAGGCTTCTGGGCATGAAGAGCTCCTGAAGAGACCTCTTCCCTTAGGGCTGGAGGGGCTGTGCCTCTCACCTCTTTGCCCAGAGGTTGCAAGTACCTTCCTCCCATCCCCAGATTCTGACCCACTCAGGGGAGCATCTGGGTTTAGAAGGAGATCGAGCTCTTCTCCCTTTGCATGCATGGTCAGCTGCAGCCAGAGCTCTGCCGTTAGAGTATCACTCCTCACCTGACCAGGTAATGGCTGCCATGTTCTTTCCCAAATCTCTTCTCTGCCCTTGGCTATGCTGATGGGGCTACTTACATGCATACATACATACACACGTGCACATGCTCACAGACAGGGCTGTGCAAGCTCAGGATCTGCTCTCCACCCCCTCACATTGCACTCTTCCTGAGCTGCAGCCTCCCAGAGGTGGCAGAGCATTTCCAGAGCAGACACAGCTCTGCTTTGTCTCGCTGCTGTCTCCAGGGCCATGCAGGGCTCCTCCTGCTGCACTGCAGCTTGGGTCCCTGGAATGATCCAGGTCGATCCCCTGTGCCATGGGCCGGGGAGCAGAGACCCGCAAACCAGATCCTCCCAGTCTGTGGTCAGACAGGGTGTTCCCTTGGTCCCACTGCCCATCCTGCACAAGCAGGCATAGCCCAGGCTGCCCCCTGCATCACTCCATCCTCCCTGCTGCCCTGAGATGCCCATCACTAGGCCGACCAGCTCTTCTGAAAGGTGCAGGAGGGAGTGTCCTGCCAGGCTGGAGCTGCCTTCCCTACCTTCCCACTGCCATCCTGGCTGTCCTACACAGTGGGTCCTCCACTCCCACTGCTTTTCTCTTCATGACCCCATGTTTGGTGGGTCTGGCACAGCTGGGCTCAGAGCTTTGGGGAGCTCTTTCCTTCCAGCGACTATTTTTTTTCCTTCCCCCTCTGAGTTCTGTCGTTTGGTTTCTTTGCTTTGCTTTTCCTGTCGCTGTCCTGGCTATTCACACGCCATCTCTCTGAGTGCCAAGGCTGCCTCTGAAAGGGCTGGCGCATTAAGGAGTCTCTGCACGCTGCCTCCGGCGCAGGCTGTGCCAGCGACACCGAGCCACTTCAAAGTGCTTCCTTCCCTGGCCCCTCTGGGGCTGGAGTCCCCATGGGAGCTCCTGAGGGCCTGGGTTAAGGCAGGAGAAGGGGTGGCACAAGGCACGATGAAGCATCTCAGGCACATTCTCCCTCTGGTTTTGCCCTGCGGCAGCTCTGCTCGATGGCACTTCCTTTGCAGTCTCTCCGTGGATGCATTTGGTGGCCCAACTGAGGGTCCCCGTGTGGAAGAGGCTCTCAGGGAGCTGGCGGGGATGTGCCTCTGCCCCGCTGACTCATGGACAGGCAGAGCCAGCGATTTGGGCACCCAGGCGTGACACAAGGAGGATTAAAGCACCCAGACGCTGCTGCTGCCCTTCAGCTCCGGCCACTGCGCTGGTGTCTGTTGACTCGAATTAATTGAATAACTTGTGAAGAGGCACTGAGGCTTCCCCCCTCCCCCGCACCCTCCCCGCTTCTGTTTAGCTCTGAATGTCCTGGGTATGCAGTGTGAGGATAACACACCCCCAGTGCTTGTTTGTTCAGACTTGGTGCCATTTGACCATTGACTTGTTCAGGAATACTCCCGATTATTATTTCTAAGGCCATTTTGTGTGTGACCGGTCAATAAGCTCTCCTCTCACAGAGCAGGAGGCCGTGTGCTGTGTCGGTGGTTTGGAATGCCTCAGCTCCCACCTTGCCATTGCTGTCATTTCATAGCAGCCAAAGGGCTGAGAATTTGTCAGCACTTATCCCTGCCTCCACAGGACAAAAAATGCCCCTGTCTCCCATTTGGGCGCATACTGGTCCCTCTCTTGGGCAGGGCAGCAGTGCCTTGGGATTAATTAGCCATGCTCTGTGCAGAGGATCTGCCAGCGCCTAGCTCAGCTGCTGCTCGTGTTTTGCTGTGAAAATGAAGCTCTGCCCACCAGAGAGCGTGTACGTGCACACAGCGTAGGGTCTATGGATGCCTCTCTGGCATGGCTGGGGACTCGCTGCCACCTCTGTGCCCTGCTACTTCAGAGTGCGACGCTCAGAAGTGAGACTCACCATTTGTGCCAGCCTGGGTGCTTTTGTGGAGCTCCTGGAGGATGGAAATGGCTCCTCCGCATTGCTCAGGGGCAGGGAGGGACGGGGCAACACGGAGGAAAGGCTCCGTGGATGCCACTGGATGCAGCTCCTGCTCCTCTCTTAGCTGAGCACGATGGCTGTAAGCAGCTGAGATCCCTGCCCTCTTTATCGCTGTTTGCACTGGCGTCAGCACTATTGCAACAGTTTGCTTAAGATAGTATAAATCTGGTGCAGATGCTCCTGTTTAAGGAAAACTGATTTTATTTTTTTTTTTTACTAAACTCGAGCTTAAATCTTCCTAGGGACTTCAGATAAGAGCATACATCCTTCCTATCAGCCTGAACAGTGTCACTCCACAGTCAGCTTTCAGTTAAACAGCGTAACAGGCACTCACACGAGGTGAGCAGAATGAATTTTTGATGGGCGAGGAGAGCAGGAACCACAAGAGCTTTGTTTTTTTCCCAGCACCAAGAAGCTCAAAGCAAGGCAGGGCCCTGAGGGCGGCCAGGATGGCAGCACTGGGCTGGGGGCTGCAGCCTACAGCAATGCAAAGAATATCTCACAGCAGTGGCCTTGAGTGCAGTAAAAGCAGACATAGGGAGGTGACAGAGCAAAGTGCAAGAAAGGCGTGGAAGCACTTAATCTGTAATTTCTCTTATGAGCTGTGGAGCAATGGTGGGTAGTTGTAGAGGTGAGTGACAGAGCTGGACTTGTTACAGCTGTGTTATCAGCTGCTGGCAGAAAGGCTGCTTGGCTGCAGAAACTGCTGCTGGCAGGAGCAGGACCCCCAAAACACTGCCATCCTGGCACCATGCTGCCAGTCGGGATGGTTCTGGGTTTGCACTCACCTCACAGACATCCCATCTCTTTTCAGAGTCCCCCAGTGCATCACTTTCACCCCATTTCCCATTGTTGCTTTCCAAAGTTCTCTGAAGTTGCCTCCTCCTTACGAGGCTCGGGTTCTTTCAGCCTTATTATCCCTGCCTTCACCGATCCCCAGGCTGCCAGGGCAGCTGCCCTCATCCAGATCCATCCCCATGCAGTATTCCCATCAGAGAGTACCCACTGCCCTCCCACAGCTCGGAAGCACAGGGCAGATGAAGGATTGCTGCCTGTAGCATTCATTAGAGAAAATCCCTCTCCCTGTGCATTACCAGGAGGCAGGAGCAGTGCTGCACAGGTTCATTGCTTAAGTGCTTTCTGGGCTTGCAGCTCTCTAACAAAGATGCACTCGGTCAAGCCTGAAGCCTCCACTCCAGCTCCTGCCTGCAGTCAGGCTGGGGCCTCTGTGTGTGGCGGGGGTGCAGCAGGACAGAGGCATTGAGGCTGTGTGGGCTGAGGCTGGAGGAGGCAGGAGTGCTGGGTTAGAAGGAGAACCTGCAGAACATCAAGTGCCTCTGGAGATGTCCCTGCCCTGGGGCAGGCTGCTCTGCCCAACCCGTGCCCAGTATTTGTCATGCCTCTCCTTAACCTTCTCCCCAGACCATCTTCCACTGTTCTTCTGCCCTTTCTGCCAGAAAACTTTTCTTTACTGTCTGCCTTGTGTGGCTCTGCCAGCCACTGCCCAGTGGAGCAGAAGTCACTCCCTTTGTCACTGCTGGGCCTTGCCCTGCCTGGGGAGGCTGCAAGCACAGCTCCCTGCTGTCAGCACTGGCCTCGTCTTCCTCAAACTTTGCTCTCCTGATGGATTTCCTAGACATCTGGTCCTTGCTCCTCTGTCCAGAAAGTCATGGCACGGAGCACTGTGCTCCCCTCTCGTACCCCAAGTTTGTGCTCTGAGCAAGGTGAGGCTGCTCTCCCCAACCAGGCTTTTGGGTTCTCTCTACAACAAAAGGCATTTGCACTTGCCCTGATGGAGCTGCCCCGTGGGCAAGTCAGGCAGAGCTGGGCAGATAGGATCGGGGCTCTGGGACCATGCTGGTGCCCAGTGCAACCTACAAAGGCAATTAGGACATTAGAAAGACGGATGTTTTTTGCAAGCTGCCGTCACAAGCTGGCAGTTTACAGCACAGGGCAATGGGCAGGGCTGTGGGCTGACCTGACTCTTCGGCTGTGCTGGTGGCAGATGAGGACACGGCTTTGGGATGCTCCCAGCCCCTGCACCCTGGGGAGGAGCTGGGAAGGGCCCGGGGAGCAGCAGCACAGCACTGTGGCACCGGGGCAGCCTTGTGCCCTCCGTGCCGTGGCTCTGGGAGAGGTGCAGTGTGAGTAGCCAGCAGTGCTGTGGGGCGCAAGCCTGGCCCCACCAGCTCTGCTATCACGCTATTTTTGAATTCTCTTTTGTGTTTTTTTTTTTCTTTTGTTGGTTTTTTTTCTGTTGTTGTTGTTGTTTTGTTTTTCTCCTTTTTTTTTTTTTTTTTTTTTTTTTTTTTTTTTTTTTTTTTTTTTTTGTTTTTTTTTTTTTTTTTTTTTTTCTGTCTCCTCGTGTTTGGTCCCTAGGAGCCAGCGCTAAGAAACAGGGAGAGGACTTAGCGGATAATGACGGGGATGAAGACGAAGGTATTTCTGTGCTCGAGGCTGCCACTGCATGACACGCAAAGCAACTCCGTATGCCCGCCATCCGCTGCCATCCCCAGGGAGCCCCGTGTGTGTCTGTCTCAGCGCTGGGCAGCTGCGCGGGGCGGGGGGCAGGGGGGCCGGCTGTGCAGGGCTCAGCCCCATCCTCTCCTCCTGGGGAAGCTTTGAGGTCGTGCTGCAGGAGAAGTTTGCTGGCTGCCCCGCTCCGCTCGAGCGAGGGCCGGGAGGAAGCATGGCAGCTTGGGAGCAGAGGAGCCCTCGGGCACCTGGGCCCATTTCACCCCGAGCCCGGTCATATTCCACCTCCAGCCTCATCCCTCCAGACTTAGCGATGCACGACGGGAGCCTGCACTCTCCCCTCCCACCTGCTTCCAGTATGGGACAGAAGCATGGACACCCGTGCCACTGATCTGTGCCCAGTCCCAGCCGGGTGTGCTGCACCCATTTTTTTTCCTAATGCCAGGTGTTGCTTGTGCCACTTCGTCTGTGCCAGATGAGGCAGAGTGAGTGCAATGTCAGACGGGTGTGTTTCATTGCCAGCAGGTTAAGAAAGCTGCAGAACAGGCGGTTTTTGGTAACACGGGGCTGCTCGGCCACAGGGCTGGGACTCGGTGTGTTTTGTTGCAGAGATGTGAGGAGGAGGTCAGCCAGGATGCAGCTGTAACACAGTGAGGGCACTGCGACCTCGTGGGCTGTGGAGTGCTGGGGCAGCCCGGAGCCCGTCCTGGCAGATGGCATTTGGGTTCTGGGAAGCAGATGAAAAGCCAGTTCATTGGCAGCAGCAAAACCTGTTGTTTTCTTCCAGTAACCTGTGCCCCAGGATCTCTTGGACCAGGGCATAAACTGGCATCCATCCTAAATGATCTGACTGCAGAAAATCCCTGCATGCCGAATTGTGCCACAAAGATTAGGAGCCATTTTTTCCCTGCTCTGCCTCTACGTTTTAATGCCGATCTGATACAGGGATGGCCCTTCGTGTTTTGGTAGTGGCATATAGCAGTGGGGACAGAGCTGCAAGAATGAGTGCTGGAGCTCTTGGGGTTTCACCCAAGAGGTTTTCCTGGCAGAGCACTGCAGGTTGGCCGCCACGGTGGGGTGTGAGGGGAGGTGAGGATGGAGCTGTGGTCGGGGCAGCTGGAGAGGGTAAGAGCTGTGCCTGGTGCCAGCCAATGCCCACCAATGCACAGCACTGGGTGCAGGTGAGCACAAAGGAGAGCAAAGTCCATGAGTGCTGGAGAGTTGACACTGCCACTGCGATTTGTGCAGCTGCTTCCATGCAATGTGGGTGAGATGTTCCGCGGGCCCAGCGTGGGTACGGCTGCCCCCAGGACAAGGATAGTGAGGAGAGAGAGACAGCACGGCTGCTCCTCAACCCTAGGCTCCTCCGGTGCTCTCTCCCCAGTCCTCAGGTCCCATTCCCCATCCTCACTCCATGCCTCATGACCTGTCCTCGCCCAGCCTCGGCGCTCACCTCCCCAACACGCACACATGCACGCACTGTCTGCTCATCACCATGTCTGTGTCCGGGCACTGGGGTGCCATGGGTTCACATCCAGGCAGCCGGCAGATTTCTGCCTCCCTGGGCAATCGGGAAGGTGGGGAGGCGGGTGAGTGAGAGGTGGGAGCACCCACCAGTGCCCCCCCGCCCTCCAGGTCCTGCACACCCCATCCCTGCCTCTCTTCAATGCCAGCTGCCAGCACTTCCGGAGCTGAGGGCTCGGGGCCACGGGGACACAGGGACAAACTCCACGAGCACCCCCAGTCTGTTGGTGCCCTACAGCCACTGTCACCATGGAGGTGCCAGCTCCTGCCTGTCGCCAGAGCCCGGCTCCAGGGAAGAGCAGCTGGGTGCAGCCGGTGCCTCTCCTGCATGCATTGAGACTCTGGGCAGCTCCTGCCCAGGGGACAGCAGTGCTGGGATGGTGATAGTGGCTGCCTACCACGGCAGGGGGGGGGGAGGAGGTTGGCAGGACTGTGCTATGGCTTTGGGCTCTGGGTTTGGCTGCTGCAGCCCCCTCCCTGGTCCTGGCAGCTGGCATTGCCCTCCTCTCTCTGTGGTCTGCCTCTCGGCAGGGTGCTGCGATCGCCAGCGTGGTCCCGTGTTTAACTTCCTCTCCTTCCAGACATCCGGGACAGCGGGGCCAAGCCAGTGATGGTGTACATCCACGGCGGCTCATACATGGAGGGCACGGGGAACATGATCGACGGCAGCGTCCTGGCCAGCTACGGGAACGTGATCGTCATCACACTCAACTACCGCGTCGGAGTGCTCGGTACGGGCTGTGCCACGGGACAGGGCACAGGGAGAGGTGGCCGAGTGCCACGTGGCAGTGCCCACAGCAGCGTGGTCAAGTTCCTGGCACCGGCCACCCAGGCTTTTTTACTCAACCTGGCTCAGCTGAAAGCAAATATTGGTTTGTGGCTAAATAAATAAGAAATGTGTTTAGACAGCATCATCTCCTGAGAGTGCTCACAGCTCTGAGCTGCCAGAGGGTGCTGCCTCACCGCCCTGCGGGTGCCATTAGAGCCAACAGCAGTGCCTGTACTCCAGCAGCCCGTGTCCAGGGCTAGGGCAGATTCAGGAGCTCCCCTTACCCTACATGGGCAATGCACAAGCCCAGATGCATCCCTTGGGGAAAGAAACAGGAGGGCTATAAGGTTGATTTTGCTCTCTGTGGTTTCCTGCAAGATGCACAGAATCGTGCTCAGCCCTCCAAGGGCTTTGCTTGGGAAAAGTCCATCCAAGCAATCTGCAGGCTCTGCTGCTCTCACTCAGCTGGGTCAGGGGCTCAGTGCCCCACACCTGGGCACATCCTTCCGACAGCCCCTGTGCCCAACCTTCCTCTTGGGGATGACGGTCACAGATCAGCAGCCTTGCTTGGATTTACCTGATAGAAAATAAGCTTTTCTGTCAGAACAAACATACTTGAGACCTTTCGATATTAAAAGTCAGGCCTTTCAGATTGATAGTGCAAATTTAAGAGATCTGAAATACAATCTGAAATCTGACTTAAAAGCTACCATTGGCATCTCCACTGAAGTGCTGTGCCGGAGCAGCACCACTCCCTGCTGCCAGGTAACTCTCAGAGCCATGCCTTTGGCTTCCTGCTTTGAGTCAAGGCAAACAAAACACTGATAGCTTATCTTGGGTGTTACCTTTACTATTGAAAGCATTTCTCAGCATCTTCCTCACTGAAAGTTTTTGCATTTTAAGCTGCAGCCGGTTCCTTTCTGCCCAGCCCACCTCCTTACATTTATAGTGCCTCCTCCAGACCATGCTATTCCATGGGAAGCATTGGCTGTGCATGCACACTGCTCCCTGGCGCTCTCAGCTTTCCTTGGAGCATTCCTTGGAGATGTCCTGGCCTGTTGTTAGTGTGGCTGGTGTTCTGGGTAGGGCAGAGCTCATGCCCATCATCCTGTCTCTGCCTGGAGTTGCTCCATCTCACCCCTCAGCCCCTCACCCACATGTGAGCAGCACTTTAATATCCCCACTCCAACCACAGCAGCCACAGAACCCCACTGGTCATGATGGGACGGGATCCCATAGGCTCTCCCCCAGGCTCAGGAAAGGGTGGGAGATCGGCCTGCTTCCCCCATCACTAACAGGGCTCTGCTTCACTCTCAGGGTTCCTGAGCACAGGGGACCAGGCTGCCAAGGGCAACTACGGGCTGCTGGACCAGATCCAGGCGCTGCGTTGGGTCAGTGAGAACATTGCCTTCTTCGGCGGCGATCCTTTGCGCATCACCGTCTTCGGTTCCGGCATCGGCGCCTCCTGCGTCAGCCTGCTCACCCTCTCCCACCACTCAGAAGGTAGGTGCCAGGGGTGCTGAGGAATTCGTGTTGGAGTAGAGGCAAAGGTGGGTGTGAGCCTGCAGGGGAAATGAGGCCCCATGGTACCGGAGCGGAGATCTGGGTGTGCTGAAATTTGCACAACGCAGATGGAGGTGATGGGGTTGATATCGCATTGTAAATACGGTGGAGTGTTTGCTCTAGATAAAGAAAGGAATTGTTTATGCTGCGAGATTGTGCTGGTGTAAGAGCAAATGCATATAGAACACCTGTGAATAAATTTACATTGAAAACTGGGAAAAAGATTTTCAGCCAACTGAGAAGAGCTGTTCTGCCTTTAACTTCCTAAAGAAAGTGGTACGAGGAAAACCTGAACTGAGCGTGGCCCACAGGACACCAGACTGCCAGGGAGTAGTTCTATGGGGCACATACATGATAGTTAACCTCATGTAGTACCACATCCCTGCGTGTGGGCACGGGACACAGGGGCAGTGGGCAACAGTGCTCCTCAGAAACGCAGGCAGGCACAACAAAATGACACCTCACACTGAAGAGCTGCAGCCCTGCTAGGGAGCCTAGGAACAGTGCACAAAGAAAGGAAACTTTCAGAAAGTCAGCACGTGGCAGAGGAGCTGATCAGCCTTCCCTCCAGGACTTGGGAGGACGAAGGATGGACTGATCACCCCAAACTTTAAAGTAGCAGTGATTTCAGCCCAGACTGCTATGAAGGCATCTGCACCAGAGCCAGCAGCGCCGTCCGGTTTGTAGCATTTGGTTTGAAGGGTGCAGCTTGGAGGTGCCACGTCCAGCACATGGCAAAGATGGGCTTGCAAAGAGGTGAAAGGTTTGCAAACAAGAAGGAAGGTGAAGCTGCGGTGGCCCAGGATAGGTCTGCTCTGAGTAAACTGCTTTCCCTGCTGCCCCAGGATCTCAGGACATTTGTGATCAGTCCATGCTCCTCCACAAGTGCCCAGTGCCCAAAGTCAGTGCCTCTGCTCTGCACAGTGCTCCATCCTCCTGCTGACCCTGAGCAGGATGCTGCTGGGGATGTCACCCCATCTTCTTCAGGTCACTTGTGCAAACACGATTGGGTATTAGGAGGAGACACTTTCTATGGTAAAACCAGGAAATGCTTTGCATGAGTGGTCTGGGAAATCTGGTGTTGTGTGATGAAGGAGCAAGGGCGGATCTCTGCAGATTCCTGAGCAGCAGGATGGGCTCCACCTCCATGCAGGGGACACTCTGTGGCTCAAGGAGTCATGTGTGGCCATGCTATCCTCATGGATGAGTACCTGGGGCTCCACAAGCCCTCCTGCACATACATGGGGCAGTGAATACACCAGTCTTTTGCAGCCTGAAAGCTCCTACACAGAAAGAAGGGTTTTCTCTGACCAAACTGAGTTGGAGATGCAGCTGGCAGCACAGAGAGAGGCTGGTGGATTGGGGAACCCAGCAATTACTTCCCCAGAACAACTGCAGCTGCTTGCTGGCTTTCCCTCCGTGGTTGAAGAGCCCAGCGCAGCACTTTCTGGGTGACACCAGGCTTTCTGCCACTAAACCCTGTGTCTGCATGCTGTGTCCTTTGCATCACATTGGTGCTGGGCACCTGGCTCCTTCACTGCCTTGGCTATGAACGCAGCGAGGAGGGAGGGGAGACGCTGATGCTGCAGCCAGGACTGCATCAGAACAAATGGACACAGAACGCCCTCATCCAGCCCCGCTTCAGGGCACCCATCTCCCCAGGGCCATCTCTGCAGCGCAGCAGGGAAGCCACACTGAGACTCAGCCTGGAGACCAGGCGGGTTTGTTTTTATCGGATCAAAATAAAACACGTAGTGATCAAGAGCTATTAATGAAGCAGCTAATTTGTGCCTGCTCTGCCAGGCGCGGCGAGAGGCAGACATGGGAGGCTGGTGCTGTGCACGCTGTGTCTGGCTGCCGGGAAGACCCGCAGCTCCCCTGCCAGCCCTGTTGCTTGCTAGCAGGTGGATTCCCTGCCAAGAAGCAAAGTGCTGCTTCTCTCCTCCAACAAAGGTGTGGGGAGGGGGGGTCTGTCATCTTGGTGGGAAATGGCCAGTGCCCAGTGGGCAGCACACTGATGGCGGGGTCAATAGCTGCTGCTGTAGGGAGTGTCTGTAAAGAGGATCTTCACCTTGGAGGCACCCAGCGAGGCTCGGGGAATCCTTAGATCAGCTGCTCCATGGTGGGTGATGGTGAAGAGCATGCAAGCCCATGGTCAGACTCAGGCCTGTAGGCTGGGCACTGCTTTCTAGGGCACTGGGAGGTGACAAACAGAGCTTGTGACTTCTCTTTGTCCCAGTGCATGGGACTGTATGTCAGGTACTTGGCAGAGCAAGGACTGTGCGTGCAGACAGCTATGGGCACTGTGGCTGATAGCCAGGATCCTCCCAGCACTGCTGCTGCAGGAAGGAACACGCTCCCTGCAAAGCTGCGTGGGTCCAGGTGTGCAGCCAGGTCTCCTGCAGCACTCCAAGCTCAGCCATGCCCCGTGCCCTGCACCACACATGAAATGGAATCTGGCAGCCGTCGAGCGCCAGGGTTCAGCAAGGCACAGGGGTGCAAGAGAGGGCTGGCCAGAGAGCAGAGACCACGGGGTGCACCCCAAGCTCGGCCGCCTCGCACCGCCCCGGAGGCTCCGCTTCCTCGCAGCCCTTTGTATTCCGAGCACAAGCGCCATTGACATGGGGCTGGAGCCCAGCCACACATTCCTCTGCCTGGGCCAGGGCCTTTGTGGCCCCGCTTTCCAGGGCGAAAGTCCACTCCCTCTGTGTTCCCAGTGGCAGAAAGGCCCTCTTTGTGCATCTGGCAGCGTGCTCCCGCGGGGCCGGATTGGCACCAAGCAGCCCCAGCTGGGCAGGAAGTAGCAGGGAGGGGGGTGAGGGGGACCCTGACAAAGCAGCGGGTGGGACATGCAGGGTTAAGTGTCCCCGAGCAGGGATTAACCCTCCCGCTGCTGCTGCGTGGTCCCATCCAGGCTGGGGGATGACGGCAGCGTGTGATGGCGGAGATGGAGCGTGATGTTCAGCCAGCCATGGCTGTGACACAGCCATGAATGGCCCCACGAGATGCTGGGACCTCCCCACGAGATGCCTGCCAGGGGAGCACAGCACCCCATTGCAGCTTTGGGGTGTTGGAGCGTCTCTGAGCTCCTTGCTTCTCTTGCAGGTCTCTTCCAGAGAGCCATCATCCAGAGTGGCTCCGCGCTCTCCAGCTGGGCGGTGAACTACCAGCCCGTCAAGTACACCAGCATGCTGGCAGACAAGGTGGGCTGCAACGTGCTGGACACGGTGGACATGGTGGACTGCCTGCGGCAGAAGAGCGCCAAGGAGTTGGTGGAACAAGACATCCAGCCGGCCCGCTACCACGTGGCCTTTGGGCCGGTCATCGACGGGGACGTGATCCCAGATGACCCAGAGATCCTGATGGAGCAGGGCGAGTTCCTCAATTACGACATCATGCTGGGTGTCAACCAAGGCGAAGGGCTGAAGTTCGTGGAGGGCGTGGTGGACCCCGAGGATGGCGTTTCGGGCAGCGACTTTGACTACTCGGTCTCCAACTTTGTAGACAATCTGTATGGCTACCCCGAGGGCAAGGACACCCTGCGAGAAACCATCAAGTTCATGTACACAGACTGGGCCGACAGGGACAACCCCGAGACGCGCCGCAAGACCCTGGTGGCCCTCTTCACTGACCACCAGTGGGTGGAGCCATCGGTGGTGACAGCCGACCTGCACGCCCGCTACGGCTCCCCAACCTACTTCTACGCCTTCTACCACCACTGCCAGAGCCTGATGAAGCCCGCGTGGTCCGACGCGGCCCACGGGGATGAGGTGCCTTACGTGTTTGGGATCCCCATGATCGGCCCCACAGACCTCTTTCCCTGCAACTTCTCTAAGAACGATGTCATGCTCAGTGCTGTGGTGATGACCTACTGGACCAACTTTGCCAAGACAGGGTGAGCGAGGCAGGGTGGGAAGCGGTCTGCACTTGAGTGAGGGGTGGCAGGGTGGCACTGAGTCCCCTGTCCCTGGAGATCCGTGGGCTTGGCTCCTCGTGCTCCTGCCTTGGGCAGGGCAATCGTGACCTGGCATGGCTGTAGCCAGCGTCAGCCCAGGACAGGGCTCTAGCCACAGCTGAGAGCAGGGGTGTGGGAGCAATATGGTCACGGTTATCACGGGTGAGGCTCAACTCAGGGTTTGGGTTGCTGCCCATCTGTGCCTCCCTTTGTTTATCCGGAGGTAGCTGGCTCTTTCACCTCGCCTCTCTGGCTGTGCCGGGTGCTAGCTCTGTTTTGTCTGTGTCTCGCAGGGACCCCAACAAGCCCGTCCCACAGGACACCAAGTTCATCCACACCAAGGCCAACAGGTTTGAGGAGGTGGCCTGGTCCAAGTACAACCCCCGCGACCAGCTGTACCTGCACATCGGGCTGAAGCCGCGGGTGCGTGACCACTACCGAGCCACCAAGGTGGCTTTCTGGAAGCACCTGGTCCCCCACCTGTACAACCTGCACGACATGTTCCACTACACCTCCACCACCACCAAAGTGCCGCCGCCCGACACCACGCAGAACTCCCACATCACCCGCCGGCCCAACGGCAAGATCTGGACCACCAAGCGCCCCGCCATCTCACCTGCCTACAACAGCGAGAACGGGAAGGAGAAGTGGAGCCCGGAGCAGGAGGCGGGCACCCTGCTCGAGAGCCCCCGCGACTACTCCACCGAGCTGAGCGTCACCATCGCCGTGGGCGCCTCGCTCCTCTTCCTCAACGTCTTGGCCTTCGCCGCCCTCTACTACCGCAAGGACAAGCGGCGGCAGGACACGCACCGGCAGCCCAGCCCGCAGCGCGGCGCCGCCAACGACATTGCCCACGCGCCCGACGAGGAGATGCCATCCCTGCAGGCCGGCCAGGCGCACCACGAGTGCGAGGCCGTGCCGCCCCACGACACCCTGCGCCTCGCCGCCCTGCCCGACTACACGCTGACGCTGCGCCGCTCCCCGGACGACATCCCGCTCATGACGCCCAACACCATCACCATGATCCCCAACTCGCTGGTGGGGCTGCAGACCCTGCACCCCTACAACACCTTCGCCGCCGGTTTCAACAGCACGGGGCTCCCGCACTCACACTCCACCACCAGGGTATAGCTGCCCGCGGCCGGCGCACACCCATGCACGCACGCACACGCACTCGGCAGACACTGGCAGAGGGACCGGCGGGAGCCCCCCGGGACGGACAGACAGACGGACGGGTGGCACACACGGACGGTGTGACACCAAGCCCAAACCTGCGGGCGCTGCGCACCGCCGGCCGCCACGCTTCCCTCGGCGCTTTCTTTCATTCCTTTCTAACTTTGAGAAGTGCTTCAACTCTCCGGCTCCCGGCAGGAGGGCCCCACTGGTGCACCGGGGCTGTGCCCCCCCGATGGGGACACGGCGGCACCCGCGCCCACCGAGCACCCCGAGACGGGCGAGTGGCGGCGCCGGGTATCCCTCTTGGAGGAGGTTTGGCAACCAGAGCGCCGTGGATAAGGCTCCGTCACTGTGCCATGGTGCTAAGGGCAGAGGCAGCAGGCAGGGACCCGGCCTCGCGCTGGGTGCGGGCGCTGGGAGCCGGGGAGCCGCCCTGCGATGGAGACGTGGCACCTCTGCCCCCTCTTTGCGCTGCAGAGAATCTCTTTTGTGTCAGTCGTTTCTCTTTGCAGAGACGTTTTTTAAAGCAGATCTTTAGTTCTTTACACACTAACGGAGTCGCCGCGTTTTGTCCTTTGTAAAGATTTTAAACCAAGTGTTCTTGATATAAAATAAAAAGCCAGTTAGAAGAACCCCAGCGTGTGTGCGCGGTGCCGGCCCTGACGCGGCCCCACAGCCCCAGTACCCGTGCACGGGGCCAGCGGGCACCAGGCACCAGGCAGGGCCCTGCCTGCCGCGCTGCGAGGCCGTGCTCTTTTGTATTTTTGATATTCTCCCTCCTCTGTCACCCGTGCCCACGGATCTCAGCCAAAAAGCCCACTCCAGGGCCCAGCCACGGGCGCCCCACAGCCCCTCAGCCCCATCCCAGCCCCCAGTCCAGTGCCACTCTCAGCCCTCTGCGGAGTCGCCCAGTGGGGTTGGATGCGCGCTGCCAAAACGCAGCCACCCACAGCCACCCTGCCCTGCTCCCCACCTCACCACCACCCCATGCAGGGTGTGCCACTGGGGACAGGGCACCCGCCCCAGGGCTGGGGCACCCGCAGAGCCGGCGATGGCCGCAGGTAGTGGGGAGCTTAGGGCTGGATGTGGGGAAGGAGCTACCCGGGAGCAGTGAGGGCAGGGGTTGGTTTGGCCCCCAGCGTGGTCACCCTGAGCACAGGAGGGGACGGGTCCTGTGTCCCCACAGGGATGCCACCCTCAGCCTCGGTCCGGCTGGCAGACGCTGCCCGCACTGGCAGCCGTGACGCATCGGTGCCGGCTGACCCCACACAGCCCCACATGGCCCCACACAGCCTTGGTTTGGGGTGAGGGTGCTGGTTGGAGAATGTATTTATACCCTGTCACCCGCTCAGAGTAACAAATTCCAAATAAAACAGAAGTGATATTTTTAATAGTGGTGTGTCTTGCCTCTCCTTGAAACGTGCAGGGGGTGGATCACAGGGATGCCCCAACCTGGGGGTCCCCATGGTCCTGGCACCCACCTGGGCAGGGGTGTCACCTGTCCCCTGATGCCACTGGGGGCACGGTAGGGTCCCCGCATGTCCCAGCCCTTCTGGGTCCTTGTGGCATTGAGGTCCTGTGCAGGACCTCGCCCACTCCATAGGTGTCCCACAGTGTCCCCTCCCACCCTGCCCAGCCCTGCTCCCCTCCCCCTGCTTGCCGATCAGAAATCTGCTGGTTTCATTGCTTTTTAATGTAATTTCCACTGGAGTCGCCATGGCAACCAGGCATGGGGGCCTGAATTGCCTCCAGGCAGCGCAGCAGAAGAGCCGGGCCGACGGCTGGGGCTGGGGGGGACCATGGGGAGGCAGGCGGTGCTGCATGGGTGCTGCTTTGGGGAGTCCTCGTCCTGCAGCCAGCACGAGGTAGAGGCACCCAGGGACAGGTGACCCTTTGCCATGGGGTTGACGTAGGGGTGCTCTGCTGGTATCCTTCCCCACCCCAAATCCTGGCCCTTCAGCCCCCACTCAGCACTGCCCCGATCTCAGTGCCCTCTGCTCAGACCCACCCAGCTCTCCCATCGAATGCTGCCTTCAGCGCCAGCTGCAGGAGAACTGGGATGGATGGAAACCTTGGAAACCCACATTGGTCCACGGGGGACGGGTTGCCATGGCGATGCCATCGCTCCGCAGCACAGCTCCGGCACAGCCCTGCTCACTGCAGTGCAGGCAGTGGAGCCGGCGCTGCCCAGGGGATGGCAGCCCACCCCAAAGACCCCAAGGACAACGCCAGCTGCCTGCCCTGCAATCCCCTGCGCGGGGTGGAGAGGCAGGTTCTTGCCCCACAACAGGAGCTCTCTCTGTATTCTGTGCCCCATTCCTTGCTGTCCCCATGGACCATCACGGCCACCCCAGCAGGACCCTGGGTGCAAGGTGGTGACTGGCAACACGCTGCCATTAAGATCCTGCTTCTGCCATCTTCCCCAGCCTGCTGCCATCTGCTCTGGGCGTCCCCACCATCAGCAGAGAGCGGACACCGCATCCCTGAGAGCACACGTGGTCAACATCCGTGTGAGGACACGGGATATCCCCAGCTCCGGGGATGTGGTTGGAGCTGCAGGCATAGAGAAGCAGAAATAAACTGAACTGCGATGGCAGCGAGGCATGGAGAGGGCACGAGAGGCCACTGTGTGTCCGTGATGCTCCAGGAGCCACCGCCTGTGGGAGTGCAGCAGCACTGCTGTGTCCTGGTCCTGGTCCAGGTCCCCACCCCCCCAGCTTAGGGCCCAGCCACACAGCGCACCCATTGCTCCACGAGCACTGTGTTCCCCTGACCTCGCTCTGCAGCACAAAGCATTTCTGTGCTGTCTGCACCCTTCCTGGCACAGCAGACTCCAACGAGGGGGATCTGCCTCCTTGGGGAGTCCGTGATGCCATCACTTCAGCTCTGACAGCACTGCCCGGCACCGCTGTGCGTCGGTGATGGTTGGACACGGATTCCCTCTGTGACGCTCTGACCCCACGGCCGCAGCCCTGCGTCAGCCCGGCCCTGCAGCCGGATGCCGTCCCAGCACAACGCCTCTCCCGTACCCACAGCCTCACACATCACCACCGTGCTGCCAACCTCAGGATTGGCGTCACCACCCGTGATCCCACGTCCGCTCCCGGCGGCCAAGGGCCGGTCCTGCCCTCGGAGTACAGCCTGTCCCTGCACGAGGGCTTTGCACAATGTTTTTGCTGCTGTACAAAGGGCAGCAGCTGCTGATGGCACCAACACGTCCCCACTTGATGCACTCTGTTCTGGGGTCACCGCTTGCAGTTCTCCACCCCCACCCCAAGCCTCACTCCCACCTCCACCTCCATCCACATTCCCATCTTCATCTTCATCCCCATGCCATCCCCATTCCTACTCTAATCCTCACCTCATTCCATCCCATCTCATTACTATTCTAATCCTCACCTCATTCAATTCCATCCCCATCCAATTCCCATTCCCATTCTCATTCTCACCCTCATTCCCATTCCTGTCTCCACCCAACTCCACCCCACCCCTCCCCACTCCTTCCCCATCCCCATCCCCGTCCCCATCCCATCTCCTTTCCCATTCCGACCCATCCCGGCCCCGCAGCGCCCTCTGCCGCCGCAGTTCCGTCTCCCAGCGCGGTGCGGCGCTGGGTGCAGTGCTGACTCAGCCCCTTATGGGGGCGGCCGCCCCTCCCCGTCCTCAGCCCCATCCCGGGCCCCGCAGCCCCGCAGCCCCGCGTCGCTTCCACCCCAGTGCCCCTCCGGCCCCTTCGCCGTTTCCCATCTCTTCGACGGGACCTTGGAGCGGCCGCTCCGCCAGTTAATGGTTGACAGAGGCTGTTTGTTTTTCCCCTCTGCGCTTTTTCCCATTAAATTTGGGTGTCGGGAACGACCAACGACGCCCAGAGCTGCTCCGTGGGGGTGTGCGGAGCCCCGTGTCCCCCGCCCGGCAGCGCACGGCTCGCGGAGGGAACGATAGGACGGGACGGGGCCGTGGGGCGGTGCGTTGACCCCAAGGCACGGCGAGGGGAACGGGACACACCTGCGGCGCTGGAAAAGAGCAGCGGAACGATTTGGGAGGGGTGGGCGGCGACCGGGGCGGTATAAAGTCCAGGGTGCAGCTCCGAACGCTGCGTCGGGAGGTGTGTGGGACCGAGAGCTTCCGCGGTCCCGTCGGTGAGGTGGGTACCGCGGGGGGCACCCGGGGCTCGGCCGCAAGGAGCGCTCGGCATCGGGGCTGCGGGGCTGGCACACGGAGGGCACCGCCGCGCTGTCCCCGCCTTCCTCCCCACCGTGCCACGTCCGTGCCTGGCCCTGAGCTGGAGCCGTGCCACGCGTGCCGCTCCGTGTCCGGGGCTGGTGGAAGACACGGGGACCCCTTTTCTCTGTGCACGGGAAGGCACGGATGGCACCATTCCCGGCCCCGCTGTGCCATCGCTGCCGCACGGAGACGCGGCTCGGCTTAGTCCCGTGTCCCCAGCACGTGGCTGCACTCGGTGCTCGCCGTTCGGGGAGGTGGCCGTCCCCACTGCCACGTCCCGCCCGCCGTACTCAGGTGGCTGCCACCCGGAGACCCCCCCCCGGTGGCGGCGGAGGAGCCACATCCGTGCTGGGCGCGGGGCGAGGTGGGAGCGGGGACGCAGCACACAGGGACTTTGTTTGGCCGGGGTGGGCGGAAGTCGGGGCGTTGGATCTGAATGCTAAAGTGTGTTGTTCAGGAGCCCATAAAGGCCCCATTGTATGCAAATAGTTTATAAAGCAGCATATGACTTCCAGTGCAGGGCAGTGGTGGACAGAGACGAGGGCAGGCGGAGCAGAGCTCTGCTGCGGGAGACATGAGACCTTAGAGGGGCCTTTGGGGGCAGCTCAGCAGGACTCTTCCTCACTGCCAGGTATGCGCTGGGGCGGCTCCCAGCCCTGTGCTTGGGTGCAGAGCAGCCCCCGTGCTGCTCGGTGCTGGCATTCGGGGTGTGTAGGGCAAGGCAGGGCTGGGGCAGGAGGAGGGTGGTACTGCAGGGCTGCAACCCCAGGGCTGGGGATCCCCAGCT